GATAGATAGATAGATAGATAGATAGATAGATAGATAGATAGATAGATAGATAGATAGATAGATAGATAGATAAAACATACTGCACATTTTATGAATTTTTAACATAATAATCCACTACAGATGCCTCTGCTTTAGCAAACAAAACAGAGCTTTTTAGCAGTCTGAAATCTGGGCCAAAGGTTGTTTTTTTTCCAGATGTGACCCAATCCAGGGGTAAAGGAAAAAGTCAAAGGCAAGCCAGAACAAACTATTATTTTTCACCGATTTATTGTACCCAAATATATTCTCTATAAACTGATGCAATAATTTCCGTAACTAAAAGGTTATTTTCAAGCCTCCTAAACATCAACAATTTTCCTGCTGATAAAAGTTTAAATGTAGCCATGTAAACAAAGTATTTGTAATGATTTTAAAGTGTTTACAATCATTCTTTAACAAATGAGAGATCTAAAAACTGAGTTCAGATGAAGTCGGCTGATTAATTTGGGTCACGCCTGTATAAGTCTGCACCATATTATCGCCAAACAGACCAAGACTCAAATACAGTCAATTACACAACTCTCCTAGTGGTAGCTAACATGCAAGCAATTAATCAAATCCAAAATTTAAATTAATAACTGCACATTTGGTGAAATAAATACCTTAAAACAAGACTTTTACAAAGTTGAACTAAATTTATTAAGTGTGACTCAACTTTAATACAAAAAAAAAATCATCAATGCAAATTTGATTTACTGCTTCCTTTTATCCACACTTCCTGCCTACTGATTACAGTTTCACACACACACACACAAAAAAAAAATACTGTCGCATAACAATCCTATATTAGATTAGGGCTTGATTTGGCAGCTCAATGGATGAGGGCAGGGGAAGCAGCAAACAAAATCAGAGACAAATGAAAAATGTTTTAAGTTAAAGGTTAATTGCTAAATATAATACAAAATATTTCAACTCAATGTAAAGACTGGCTAATCTATTACACTTCTAATAGTATTTTTATCTTATTACTGTGCTCAAAAACGTTTTTATTTTCCTTCTACAGACATTATAAAAAATATTGCACATCAGAGCTGTGATCACAGCACTGCAATGCTGTGAAATTGTGGTATTTTGGTTATCAGACTGTCAGATCCTTGTAGCAGCCTGTGCCTATTTATAACATGGGATTATAACTGTTCCAATACGTCATAAACAGAAGCAATCCATTTAAATAACCCCTATGATCTGAATTTAGTTTATTCTTGGTGTTCGAACGCAAGCAAAACTTGCTTTCACATTTGTGGGGAAGGCCTCTGCAAGTGATCAACAAACAGCTTGCTACTGCAGCAAAACCGTAATAGTCATACAATCCGATTGCACTGCCCAGTTTCATTCAGTAACAACTTACTGGCAGAGGATTGTGAATTTCTGGAGTCAAGAGTTCTGATTTACCTCATGCTCCGAGTTCTCCTGTCCTCCTCCTTTTCCTTTGCCAGATTTGGAAGACTCCTGGAAGAGAAACAATAACCTGGCATAAAAGTGAAAGTTGCACAAACGCCTGAGTATATTTGCGAACCCAGCTTCATACTGTTAAGTCAGCAAAGACTAGCTTATTAGACTTGCACCATCATACATTTTAAAAGTAAAGCACTGCCCGTAAATGACGTAAAAACAAATAAGAAACCCCTCCGTTAAGTGCAAAGTATCTCACTTCGAGGTAACGGTCCAGTATTTTTAATGAAGCAGCGGCGCAAGTACCAAATATTGATAGCGGCTAGCTAGTCATGATTGCCGCTTGGCTAACGTTAAAATGATGGAAAAGAGCTACTAGCTAAAACGCTCGGGTTCATCAATAAAACGCATCACCGCTCACCTCATGCAAAGTTTATTTGCTACCGGATCACAACCGCTTGGCAATTCTCAAACTCACCTTGTCTTTTTTAGGCTTATTCGGCATTTTACTACCTTAGCCGCCCTTCCTCCCTTGTCTACAATCAAAACCTTGATAACTCTCGAGGCACCACACTACAAGGCGGTTCAGGCGGTACCCGCTCTGTGATTGGCTGCTGTCTGTCAGCTGACTTCAGTGTCCTCCGATGGGTGGTTGAATGCGCCTCCTGTCGGTGAAGGTGAGAAATGCAGTCCGCTCTAGTTTGATCTCCTTTTACAAATTTTGTTGGGTCACTCATTTTTGTCATAACAAATACAACAATAAAGATAATTAAAATAAACTGGGTGTCAAACTTTACTAGTAAACCTATTTCCTTTTTAACCACATTAAGATATTAACTATCTCTATAGTCCTTTTTTATACATTAAGCCTTTTTGTTAAAAAAATATATATTTCAGTTTCATTTTAGAATTTTTGGTGGAGCGTGATTTGGCCACTATATCCTTGTRGCCCTATAACGCAGTGTCTGATTTCCTCAACTACATTCACCTTATACCATGACAGTATTTTTCAGCAGCCAAATTTATTTTGCACCTCCAGTGTTATGAAATTATTTTAAGACACTTATTGGTTTTTATAGTGGGCCAAAGTATCTGTGCAATAAACTCCAACTACTGACGCACCTCATGCCATTTAGTTCCTCTTTTGGTTTAATAAGTAGAAAAGAAACGTGGCAAAAGGGCAACACAGAAATCCTTATGAATTTGACTGACTCCTCTCAAAGTAGTTTAATACAGAATTCTGTTCCCACGCTGCTGTTATAAATGTCTGTCAGTCTTGCTGGTATGATTATTAAGGCAGTGGTTCCTCTCAGACTTTGATAAGGTGTTTTAAAAGTGACATACGGCTGTTAAGTCATTAGTTTTGCAAAACCCTTACACATTTCTCTTCAGCTTTTCTCCACACATCACCTCAGCCTGTTTGGTGGACATACGTACTTATGATAGTGCTGCTAAGTTACTCATTTCATCTTACATCCTTAATTGTAAGAAATACTTTGCATTTAAGTTAACAGATACTAATAGAAGTAATTGCTTTATGTTTGAGAAGATCCAGCATAAAATTTGTTTTTGTGGAGGGTGATATTGTTGGCCTTTTAAAGCTTTAACATTGTGTAATACAAGAGGTGAGATATTCTCCATCACAAAACTCCATATCTTACATCATGAATAATTGTACCTTTCAGTAACGCAGCTTTAAAGCACCATTATATATAAAAATTACTTCAGTTGTGACACCATCTATAGATTTGTACACAAAACAAAGATAACTTTACATGTTCAAGCTTTATTTATGTGCAGCACGGTCCCAAACAATAATATTAACTCCAAGATATTTACAGTAATAGAATACAAACTTTGGAATGTAAATACAAAAAAAAAAAAAAAACTGCATTCGTGCAACATTACAAAGGGAAAAAGACAAAGAACAGAAAGGAATGATTTTGAACTAAAGTGGAGGATGAACAGAAACAAAGGACATTTGTTCCAGAATTAAAATGGGATCTTTTGAGCTCATTTACAGCATTTAAACTTTGAACTGTACACTAAACTAATTTTTGAACACCTGCAGGAACTAGGAAGCAGACTCAGTCCACTTCTTCCATTCTGGAGGTGTCGTCGTCCCCTTCGAGTGGGGGCATGTCCTCAGTGGGAGCAGAGGTGGTCTCTTCTGTCGTCATGTCGTCTTCATCGATACCTGAAAGGATGACGAGAGCAGACATTAGGGAGCATTTTGTGGAATCAGCTGTTTAAGTAAAGACAGGGTCAATTCYGGAGCTTACCAAGACCCAGTTTGATCATTCTGTAGATGCGGTTGGCGTGTGTTTGTGGGTCCTCCAGAGTGAACCCRGAGGACAGCAGGGCGGTCTCGAACAGGAGGATGACCAGATCCTTCACCGACTTGTCATTCTTGTCGGCCTCTGCCTTCTGCCTCAGGGTCTCCATGATGGGGTGGTCCGGGTTGATCTCGAGGTGCTTCTTGGCSGRCATGTATCCCATGGTGGAGTTGTCCCTCAGRGCCTGYGKRTTCATGATCCTCTCCATGTTGGCCGTCCAGCCGTAGGTGCTGGTGACGATGCAGCAGGGTGAAGAGACGAGGCGGTTGGAGACGGTGACCTGTTCAGAACAAGATTGTTAGTTTGAGAGTTGCATAAATGCAGCATAAAGTTGTACATGTTCAATTTTTACATCTGCTCACTTTTTCCACTTTCTTCTCCAAGATGTCTTTCATGATCTTGCACAGGTTCTCAAACTGAGCCTTCTTCTCCTCCTGCTTCTTCTTCTCTTCCTCGTCCTCAGGCAGCTCCAGGCCTTCCTTCGTCACTGAAACCAGGTTCTTTCCTTCAAACTCCTTRAGCTGCTGCACACAATACTCGTCGATGGGCTCTATCATATAGATGACCTCCAGGCCAGCTTTGCGGAGACGCTCCACAAAAGCAGAGTTTGCAACTTGGTCCTTTGTTTCACCTGGAGASAAACCGTGTCACAGGTTTTAAAATCATTTAAGTTAAAGGCAATCAGTGCAAATATATCTTGTAGCACTGTTAAAAGATCCTCACCAGTGATGTAGTAGATGTGCTTCTGATTGTCCTTCATACGTGTGACGTAGTCTTTTAGGGAAACCATCTCGTCTCCAGAGGCAGAGGTGTAATAACGCAGCAGTTCTGACAGCTTCTTTCTGTTCTGGGAGTCTTCATGGATACCAAGCTGAAAGGAGAAAAACAAAAACAAATGTAACTAGAGAAATTACATTTCCTGCAAAAAATGCTTACTGATGAATAAATTAGTTGAAAGCTGCTGAAGAAGCTGAAATATTCTTAAATATCAGAAAAAGCTGAAGATAAAAACGAATAAGAGTTTAAAAGTGGCTGGTTGAAAATACTAAAAAAAAAAAATGACTTCAAAAAAAAATTCAGCAAAATAGAATCCAAGGGAAGCTGAAATGAGCGCAAAAGTTGAAAAAGCAGTAGTGTAAAAAATACCGTAATTTATGAAAGTGTTAAGGATGTTAAAGACAGATCCCTTCCTTCATTTTCAATAAGAAAAAAAAATGGAAAAGCTAAAAATTTAGGAAAGGATCAATTGCTGAAGGGTAAGACAGAATCCCCCAAAGGAGCTGCCTGCATCACCAAATGMGTGACCAGTTCAACACATTTATCTTATCTAGAATATCTGGAARTATGCAATATCATCCCTAGTGTCTGAAAAGTCAAAAACAGTCATGTAGAATATAAAACAGTTGGGGTATCCTGTTTATTGTAGACAGGATGTGTCACTGATTACAGAGTTTTAACTATTTTTACCTACAAAAAACAAGACTTGCGCGGTGGGCTACAATCAGCAACTCTGGTATTTAAACTAAGCGTGTTAAATGAACACAACGTATTCAGTATCCAAAATCTCATATCTATTGCGTTCATCCAGCGTAAATCGCAAGTTATTGCTTCTTATCTGTGGAATGCTGCTGAACCTGCAGTTCTACTCCTTTTTGTAGGTTTTCTTATGTCTAGAAAAACTGAGGCCTCTCCCTTTTGTGTGCAATTTATCTTTGTTTAATATGTTTGTGTGTGTGTGTGTGCGCGTGCTGTTGAAATTGCACAAAAAATTCAGGAATGCCAAAAAATAAACTCCAATAGGGAATTCTTTATAAGCACTTACACAAACAAATACAAACTTCCCACAAAGGCAATCACAGTATAGCCATTTAAAGGGGTCTTTGTAATTTTCAGCTYAATTATGAAGCAATAGGGTTGAAATTTGATAAAATATTTCAACTCTGCCTTGTTGGATATGCAACAAGTCAACCACAAGATGAATCTCTGCTTAAAAAAATAAATAAATAAAAATAATAATTTCTCAAAAATTACATGATTTTCTACCTTAATATTCTTGGAGAACTGCTCATAGAACTTCTTGTAGTTGTCCTTGTCCTCTGACAGTTCAGTGAACAGCTCCAGGCACTTCTTGACCAGGTTCTTGCGGATCACTTTCAGGATCTTGCTCTGCTGCAGCATCTCTCTGGAGATGTTCAGGGGCAGATCCTCTGAGTCCACCACACCCCTGATGAAGTCTGAGGTGAAAAAAAGAAAACTTGAGTAAACATCAATTTTCTTTCCTGTCACGATCCTATTGTAAAACTCCAGGTGAGGATGAGTAAACATCACTTACTGAGGTACTCTGGGATGAGCTCGTCACAGTTGTCCATGATGAAGACTCGGCGCACGTACAGCTTGATGTTGTTTTTCTTCTTTTTGTTCTCAAAAAGGTCGAAGGGAGCACGACGAGGAACAAAGAGAAGAGCGCGGAACTCCAGCTGACCCTCCACTGAGAAATGCTGCAGGAATTTAAACAGAAGTGATTTTTTTTTTGGTCACAACTCAAAGATTAAACAATTAACCCAACTAAATGAAACCGAGGCTCACTTTGACTGCCAGGTGATCCTCCCAGTCGTTGGTGAGACTCTTGTAAAACTCTCCGTACTCCTCATTGGTGATGTCATCAGGGTTGCGGGTCCACAGAGGTTTGGTCTTGTTCAGCTCCTCCTGATCGATGTACTTCTCCTTGATCTTCTTCTTCTTCTTCTTCTTTTTCTCAGAGGACTTGTCGTGGTCGTCGTCCTCGTCTGAGCCGACGTCCTCGATCTCTGGTTTATCCTCGTCTTTCTCCTCCTCCTTTTCCTTCTCTTTCTCCTCCTTGTCCTTCTCCTCCTCCTCAGCCTCATCGTCACTCACCTCCTTGTCTCGCTCCTTCTCCACCTGGCAGGAAACATTTCATAATCCGTTCATTATTCGAGCTCGTTTTGCAAAACCGAAGTCAATTTTGTATGAAATTTAAAAATGATGTTTAAGGCCATTTGGTCTAAAACAAATTAAATTTTGATGGATCTTAAATACTCACAAAGAGAGTAATGGGATAGCCAATGAACTGTGAATGCTTCTTCACAATCTCTTTAATTCTTCTCTCCTCAACGTACTCAGTCTGATCTTCTTTCAGGTGCAGAATGACTTTTGTTCCACGTCCCAGTGGTTCAGCTACAGAGGAAAAACAAGTTAATGCTTAGAGTCAMAAGTACTACAAAATTACCAGCATATCTGGTCAAACTACTTACAGTTGTCCAGTCTAACTGTGAAGGACCCTCCAGCAGAGGATTCCCASYCYTACTGTTCATCATCGTTGTGCTTTGTGATGACKGTCACCTTCTCGGCCACCAGGTAGGCYGAGTAGAAACCCACGCCGAACTGGCCGATCATGGAGATGTCGGCTCCAGCCTGCAGAGCCTCCATGAAGGCCTTGGTGCCGGACTTGGCGATCGTGCCCAGGTTGTTGATCAGGTCGGCCTTGGTCATGCCGATGCCTGTGTCGATCAGGGTGAGGGTGCGCTCCTCTTTGTTCGGTCGGATTTCAATTTTGAGGTCCTTGCCCGAGTCGAGCTTGGACGGGTCGGTGAGACTCTCGTAGCGAATTTTGTCCAGAGCCTGTTGAGCGATAGGGAACAAGTTAACATTTTGTTAGGACTACTGATTTGCACTTATTAATCAAACACATCAAGTACTACAGCAAACTTACATCTGAAGAGTTGGAGATCAGCTCCCTGAGGAAAATCTCTTTGTTGGAATAGAAAGTGTTGATGATCAGGGACATCAGCTGAGCAATTTCAGCCTGGAATGCGAAGGTCTCTGCCTCCTCCTCCATTGGTTGGTCATGTAGTTCAGGCATCTGAACAGGAGATAAAAACACTGACCTTTAGGACAAGTGGACTACAAACTTATTTTACARATGCTTTACAGTGTAATATCGAGGTGCTACATTGATGGTTTGATGGCACAGCTGATAAGATTTCAGCAGGAAACACTTCCTACTTTGATAGCAGCATTCCCCAGACATTAGTAATGTGGGTGGTCAATTGTGTTTTGTTTTTCTTAATATCAACATTTTATGAGTAAGTAGAATAATGAAAGTCTCATTTGCAGTGGATTGCATTTTTTTAATCAATTCAATAAATGATCAAACATGAAAAGCATTTATTTCATAGCAATCAGACTGTGGAGACTTTTAAATCTACTTAAAACTCATTTACTCCCTGGCCTTTCCTTTCCTTTCATTCTGGTAGAGTTTGAGATTCTTTTAAATGATAGTTTTTAATGTTTTTTCTGGATTTTAAAATTGATTTTATTGTCTACATTTATGTTTTGCTCTGTTTTACTTGGTCAACTTTTGTTTTTTTTATGCGCTATTTAAATAAATTTACATTGACATTGAAAAATTTTTTTAAACACTCATTTATCTATTTTGCCTGCCTGCATCATTACCCAACATGCACTTTTTAAATGTTCAAGTKCTTTTGGTGACATAAAGTCCACGAAATTATAATTTTTAAAATCAAACTTTTGAGAGCGTTCACACATTAAAAACCTGAAACTAAATTAGAACCAAATCAATTTAAGATTAACTCACTCCTTTAYTTATACATACTGCAAAATTACTAGTATATTTAATGCATTTTGCCTTGTCTTCAATTAACATTTGCCAATTTTATTAATTTGAATAGTCATCTCAAACAGAAGAAAAAGCATAAACACATTTTTAACTCCCACACTGGGACATTTAATATGAAAATGCAGCAAATTTCTCCTAGACTGATCTTTGTCCTTTTTAGAATTAGAGCAGTGAGAGCGCCCCCTACTGTTTTACTGGAAGAAGCGCGACCTTCTAGAAGCTACCAGGCTGCCGAGGGAACTCTCTAGCATCTTCTACGGTAATCCCAAGACCCTCCCCTCCCTCCCTTCAGCCAATTGGATTGAACGCATGTCAGCAGAYCTGCATCCCTAAGATTAAACCTTAAAATTGCTTTGTGTGTGTGTAGCATATACTAACTGCTGTCGCCAACAGTACATTTCTTTAATAACAATTTACTAAAGCTGCATGCTTGCTAATTTACCWGTCTTGACGATTAAACTAAAATCATTTGTGACGTTCCACGTATTGTATTATAGCAAACATTGAAATAAGGCCACTTAAATGAATCATAAGACGTTTAAATTAAATTGCGACAACCAAACTTATTAATGTATGAATAAATTCGGAAAACCTTGCAATTTGAATTTGAAGTTAAACGCACCAACTAAAAAATAAACATAAGCTATACCGTGATTCGTTGAAGTGTACAATTGTACCTGCCATAGTTCAATTAATTAAAAAAAACCATTAATTTACCTTGATCCTCTAGGTGTACGACGAGCTTCACAACAAGAAGAATACTTCGTCTGGTGATTCCTGTCGTGAGCGCGTGTCGGTGCGCCTTTTATACTAGCTCAGTATTCCAGAAAATACCCACCAAAGCTTCCAGAACCATCTCAAATCTTCCACTACACGAGCTGTGTGGTGGCCGCTTACCGGTCAAGCAGAGTGTCAATCATTTTTTGTATACGCCCTTTTTTCCTTTTTTGGCAGATGGAGGCGGAATCGATKGGGGATGGTTTGGAACAATCAAGAAAACGTGGGAGTGGATCTGAAATCACTGAAAATTCTAGAATACTTAGTAAAAACATAATAAAGTAAAGTTTATGGGAAAACTTGTATGCTATTATATTGTCAACCCTACCTTCCATTATTCCCTGAGTGAGAACCATTGTATTGAAAGCTGGCAAAGTTACCAAATCTAGCATGTAGTKATAAGAATTACTTCATTTGTTATTTGCAAACATTTTTATTACAAATTTGAAAGCTTTACATATAAAATGTAATGGTTACAAAAAGAGACATGAGTTTAGAGTACTTAGTGTTTGTTTTGTATAAATAGTAATTACAATGCAAACAGAAACATCATAGCCTACATTATTTCAAATAATTTGYTACAATAATCAAGAACGGGAGTTTGTGTTAAATAAAATGATTTAGAGGGAAAAAAACTTACAAAAATAAACATTAGAAAAGCCTGGAAATATCTAGCAAGTATTTTAGTCAACTTCCTCCATTCTTGATGTGTCATCATCTCCTTCCAACACTGGCATATCTTCATCAGCAGGCTGAATGACATCTTCAACTGCAGAATCATCATCATCAATCCCTGCAAAAACAACAATGTATTCATTATCAACCAAAGCCCATTTGAAACAAGATTATTTCCATTTGTGGTAGTAGGAAGAAAAAAACGTACCAAGACCCAGTTTGATCATTCTGTAGATGCGGTTGGCGTGTGTTTGTGGGTCCTCCAGTGTGAACCCTGAGGACAGCAGGGCGGTCTCGAACAGGAGGATGACCAGATCCTTCACAGCCTTGTCATTCTTGTCAGCCTCTGCCTTCTCCCTCAGCGTCTCGACAATTGGATGCAGCGGGTTGATCTCGAGGTGCTTCTTGGCCGTCATGTATCCCATGGTGGAGTTGTCCCTCAGCGCCTGYGKCTTCATGATCCTCTCCATGTTGGCCGTCCAGCCGTAGGTGCTGGTGACGATGCAGCAGGGTGAAGAGACGAGGCGGTTGGAGACGGTGACCTGTTCAAAAAAAAGCAAAAATGAAGATTTTAGCTGCAGCAGAGGGATGCAAACTACAAGCATTGGATTTTAAAATACAACACTATTGCACAACTTGTTGTTCAACTTAATTGATGGAACAAAGATACTAATGGGTATACAGCTTCACCTTTTCMATTTTTTTGTCGAGGATGTCCTTCATGATCTTGCAGAGGTTCTCAAACTTGTTTTTGAGTTCCTCTTGCTTCTTCTTCTCATCTTCATCTTCAGGCAGCTCCAGGCCTTCCTTAGTCACTGAAACCAGGTTCTTCCCATCGTACTCCTTCAGCTGCTGCACGCAATACTCATCAATGGGCTCAATCATGTAGATGACCTCTAGGCCACTTTTGCGAAGGCGCTCCACAAAGGCAGAGTTGGCCACCTGGTCTTTGGTCTCACCTGTAAATGTCGTTATGAATGATGTAGTCATTGTACTGTCATCCAATCATTTTTAATCAATTTTTATGAAGACATAACAAGCAATTTACCAGTGATGTAGTAAATGTGCTTCTGGTTGTCCTTCATGCGAGAGACGTAGTCTTTCAGGGAAACCATCTCATCTCCAGAGGCAGAGGTGTAAAAACGCAGCAGATCAGACAGCTTTTTTCTGTTCTGGGAGTCTTCATGGATTCCAAGCTAAAACATAATTATGTTTTTTCTGTGTCATCAGAATTAAACCTCAAAGTCACATTTTATCATAAAGGTAGACATCTTAAGAATGAAAGTACCTTGATGTTCTTGGAGAACTGCTCATAGAGCTTTTTGTAGTTGTCCTTGTCCTCTGACAGTTCAGTGAACAGCTCTAGGCACTTCTTGACCAGGTTCTTGCGGATAACTTTCAGGATCTTGCTCTGCTGCAGCATCTCTCTGGAGATGTTCAGAGGAAGGTCCTCAGAGTCCACCACACCCTTGATGAAGTCTGAATATGGGGATAAACACTGATCAGTCATCCAGACATTATTTAACAAACTATAAAAATTGTGAATGAAAGACTACTTCATTTAAAGGGATCCTACGGATGGTTTGTTTGTGATACTTTGTACTTACTGAGATATTCTGGGATGAGCTCCTCACAGTTATCCATAATGAAGACCCTGCGCACATAAAGCTTGATGTTGTTTCTCTTTTTCTTGTTTTCAAATAGGTCAAACGCAGCTCTTCTGGGTACAAAGAGCAAGGCACGGAACTCCAGCTGACCCTCCACTGAGAAGTGCTGCAGTTTCAAGTAAATAAAGCAGAATTTCAATTACTAAAAACAGCAGGACCAAGAGGAAAGATGACAAAGGGACTTGTGTTTTTTGGCATCACTAACTCACCTTGACTGCTAGGTGATCCTCCCAGTCATTGGTGAGACTCTTGTAAAACTCGCCATACTCTTCGTTGGTGATGTCATCGGGGTTACGGGTCCAGATGGGCTTGGTCTTGTTCAGCTCTTGAGCATCAATGTACTTCTCCTTGACCTTGTGCTTCCTTTTGTTCTTCCCATCTTTTGAATCCTCGTCCTCGTCTGAACCCACATCCTCGATCTTAGGTTTGTCCTTGTTTTCAGCAGCATCTTTCTCCACCTCCTCCTCCTTTTCGCCCTCATCCAAGTCTACTTCCTTCTCTCTTGTCTTCTCAACCTGGAACATATGAGAGTTATGAATATCTCCTTTGGTTTGACATTGTTACTTTTCATATATGGTTATGGGTCCAACTTGGATAAAGTACTGAATAATAACTTACAAAAAGTGTAATAGGATAGCCAATGAACTGTGAGTGCTTCTTCACCACTTCCTTAATACGCTTCTCCTCGCAGTATTCAGTCTGATCTTCTTTTAGGTGGAGGATAACCTTTGTTCCTCTGCCAATGGGCTCACCTATAGTTAATCGAATTAACATAAACTAAGTGTCGGATAATGAATTTTTGATTTTTTCATTTTTCATCATGCAAGCAAATTTATTTKATTAAAGAGAATTAAACATACCATTGTCAGGTTTGACTGTAAATGAGCCACCAGCTGATGACTCCCACACATACTGTTCATCATCGTTGTGCTTTGTGATGACCGTCACCTTCTCGGCCACCAGGTAGGCGGAGTAGAAACCCACGCCGAACTGGCCGATCATGGAGATGTCGGCTCCAGCCTGCAGAGCCTCCATGAAGGCCTTGGTACCAGACTTGGCAATCGTTCCCAGGTTGTTGATCAGGTCGGCCTTGGTCATGCCGATGCCTGTGTCGATCAGGGTGAGGGTACGAGCGTGCAGGTCGGGCCTGATTTCAATCTTAAGTTCCTTGCAGGACTCAAGTTTGCTGGGGTCAGTCAGGCTTTCATACCTGATCTTGTCTAAGGCCTGTCCAAAAGAGACAACCGCATTAACAAAGAGTTATTTTTCCACAAATTTGAAAGGTGCAATTGTATGAAAAATTTTATATTTCCTTACATCTGAAGAGTTGGAGATGAGCTCTCTAAGGAAGATTTCTTTGTTGGAGTAGAAAGTGTTGATGATAAGAGACATGAGCTGAGCAATCTCAGCCTGGAAAGCAAAGGTCTCCACTTCCTCCTCCATAACGTGTCCAGTGCTCTCAGGCATCTAAAGGGAAGCAAACACATTTTATAAAACTGCATTTTATATATTCATAACATTATTGAATTTTGCTAATAATGTTTTTAAATCTCTATGTTCATTCTTGACTTTAAATGTCAAATTGTTCCCCTATCTCTATCGAAGACTGCCACATGGCTCACATGTGGTCCAGAGTCCTGCTGGTCCGTGAACAAATGTCCCATCTGTCAATCAACAAGTGGGCAAGCGAGTGGACTGGTGCTTCCACCCTATGGCTTTAATGTCATAATCTAACATTATTTGAATAAGGAAAGTAAAAAGTTGTAACCTACAGATAAAATAAATGATACATTAAAATTTTAATGAGAAATAAATTGATTTATCAATATATTTTCATTTAAAAAAACGATCTGAAGTTAAAACATCGAATATCTTTTTTTTTTGTTCTAAATGATGTGCCTACTTGTTCTGCTCATTAGTTACTCCTTTCTGGCCCTGGGTCACCCTGCTTGCCATGTGCTCCCTACATGTTGTAGTCTCACAAAGAACTAAGATGGGGAACAGGGCAACTCTGCTATTATAAAAAGAACTGTTCTGTACCCTGCAGTAAATTCAACCAATTATTTTTGTCATTCATACAGTCCAGTACTGAACACTGTTGATAGGCCAAATGCTATTCCAGTCCTACCTTGACTTAAATCTTTGTCACTTCTTTAGGATAGCTGTCAAACAAATCACTTTTCTTCTTTCCTTTTCTCTCAGAGCTTCAAATTTCTGCGTCACTGCMGCTCCGGTGGTTAGTMAAGTCTCTCGTTGATGCATTCAAATGAGTTCCTTCAGAAGTTTATGCGGACCCAAGGCCATGCCGGTCTTTTTATACTTCAGGGGTGGGTTTCTCGAAGCTCCTCTTTAGAAACTTCCAGAAGATATGTTCACTACAGTGAGGGAGAGGTGCTGAGGAATGGRCGGGAAGAGGGTGGAGGGGTGGGTGGCAAGCGAGAGATCCCTAAAGTTCATGTGCCCTTATAGGGCTGCAGAGTCACAAGGAGTGCCCGTCACTCACAGCCAGAGCTTTCCTGATAGCTTGTCTGTATGCTGGGCCCTCTACGCCCCTGTTAGTGTCACAGCTGTGCATTGCTTTTGCTGTCACCTGCTGCTGGACATCTCCATGAACTCGCCCATAGTGAACTATAATGAACAGCAGGCTCATGGGTTTTAGGGGGATGGGGAAGGTGCAAAACTTGTAACAAGACTTTGGCTTATTTAAGACACTTTTGTGGACCATGGAAGTCTTTTATAGTTTATCTCTTAAAAGCTGAGAATGTTGCCCCTCAGATTGAAATATTTTGTGTGTGTGTGTGGGAGAGCTTACTTATTTTTGGTTTTATTAAATAAAGGCATCAACATGTGTGGCCCCAGTCTGAGGCCAACATCATAATGATCAAAGTAGCATCAATTTAAACTGAAACGTAAAATCTGTACAGACATTTCATTAACGAGGCTCTGAGTTTGCAAGTAAATACGATCACGGTGTTATTGCGTTGTTTTTAATGCAAAATTCAGGCAGAGTAATACGGCTTGACGAAAAAATTTGGAAATGCTGCTATAGTTGCACATCCTCACATTGAACTCAACATATCGTAAGAGGTGAAGCATGTTAACTCAACCATGAAAATGCTTGCATAAAACCATAGAAATGGCACGGAACTTTGTTAATATCGTTATTTTGTAATATAGAAAAGTCTAGTAGCTCATGGTGAACCTTACACTTCAAATGATCAGAAGATGGCAGTGTTTTCCACCTGGCTCAACTCTTGTTATGTAATCCAAATGTTTCTAGCTGATGGGAGACGCTACTAGAAGCTGACCTTGTGCGTTTGTGAAACTTGAAGCACTGTTGCTTTCACTGTTAGAGAAGCCTGATTCTTCAAAGTTTAAAGATATAGTGAAACAGTAAATGATTTCTGGAATGTAGATCTGGGAGGCAAAGGTTTTTTCTAAACCCTGGCTTGGTTCATTCACCATTTAATGGTTAAATAAGAGCAATGACAAAGTTTTACTACAGGTTCTGTCACACTATAAATATAGACAACTTACCATTTAACTTGTGAAATTTTCATTGTGACTGTTTTACTCATATCATTTATGTAGTTTATCTAATTTTTAGCATTAGAACAGGTCCAAAAGAGGCTTCCAGTAGATTTTCTTTTAATTCCATCTTCAGCTTAAACATATTTATTGTTGGACAAACATTTCATAAAGTTAGCTAAAACATTAGTGTGACAGGGCCTTAAAAAGTTACAGCTGTATGGAATCCCATTTTCACCATGAAAAAAAAAACAAACGTTAAATGGTGTGTCATAATTTTGAGTTTCAGAAGGCTCTTTCATAAAACAGTTCAGTGAAATGGCCARACAAACCAGTATGTTTTATGCTGTTGTAGCTTTTTAAAAATCACAGTTGGAGTCGGCCACATTTCAAAATGAAACAAACATTGCTGAACCAAGAGAGACAAACAAAACCAAATGGAACCCTTGCATCATTTTCAAAACATGACGAATTAACTCAATTTATCTTTTTTTTGTGGTTCACTATTTTTAAAACTAAATACAAACTGTGCTTCCTCATGAATTTTCTCTCTGTACTAAATCCGTTTGTTGTTATTTAACCCTGTGACCAAGAGGTCGCACCGATTATATTGTAATATATCATCGTTTTGTCACATTATTGAGCCACAAAGTTGACTTACTATTACACATCAATCCTTTTGGATCTGTTTCTACTACCTACCTCATTTTGTGGCAGAAATGTGCTCCAGGGGTGGGCTAGACACCGCTCATTCAGTTATCACACCAAGGCAGCCGTACCATGTCTAAGTCTAGGCTTGAGCTGTGTTGTAAAAGAGCCTGAAGACATGGTAAAATACAATGTCTGAGTTTCAAAGTCACAATTATTTGTATCTGTATTTGTATTTTAAGATACAAAGGTATAACTTTGATCAAAACTTTGGATTTTTCAAAATTTCGATCATAGAAAATTGTCCTGATGCATCTCAGTAATCCAGGTAAAAAAATCAAAAAGAAAAAAATTGTATAGGTCTTCTGGACGGGTTCTTCTCTAATGAAACGTTTCGTATCTCCTCCAAGAGACTTCTTCAGACACAGGCCAATATTTACATTTTGACTCCCACCACCCACTGGAACACAAGTTAGGAGTGATCAGGACTCTGTACCAC